AGATTCAATTTTTTACAATATAATAATTTGCAGAGGATTCATGTTGCGCAAGAATCGAAATCAATGTTTAATAGAAATAAATGTAATGTAATATTCTGCTTAAATAAACTTTAATTTTCTATGGTTGAAACATCACATAAATTCTCCATTATTTGTAATAAATTATCTCTGAGGCCGGTGACCGACAGTAGGCAGATCGAACTTCAGGAGGTGTGTGTCGGGGGGGAGGGGGGCACATGCTAGAATGGATTTGACGTATATCTGAGCCATATCATATGATTAGGAGTATGTCACGACGATTTCAGCATGTCATGGGTAGCAATAATATTAAGAATTAAACGACCCACGAGTAGAGAATAACAAACTTTTTAAAATATTTTGGAAATATTAATCCGACTGTGGAATCAAATCTGTCAATTATCAGTGGAAATCTGTGGAAGCTTGCATGGTTCCCTTGGCTTAAAATGGCAAGATTATATTCAATGCAATGTGTATGTCAGTATGGTTGATATATAGATGCATTTGGCACAACAACATTTTTTTAGAACTAATTTGGGGGACTCCTTTAACATTGGGACTCTTAGCTAGTCTGGCCAGAACCCCGCTTTATCCGTGTCTGCTGGAAATGGCTTACAAACCTCCCAAAATATGAAGCTCCGTCGTTTTCTCCACAAAGTTGTGCCAAAATCAGACACTTTTTGTTTGGTCAAGGGTAAGTTTTTCTAATGATAAACAAGTACAATTACTACTCATCTGTTGTCATGGACTGACTGGGCCTCGGGCCGCCATACTCGGAAAAACATAATTTGGCATACATACATTTATTTTTTCAAAATAACTAAAATTCATGTCGTATTCATTTAAAAAAATATGGCCTCAATCTGAGGAGAGAAATAATCTGTGAGGTGCAGTAATAGTGAATCAAACTTGTTCCGTTTTCTCATCATGTCACTTATTGTACCGCGATGGGCCCAGCGAAACCAATTGGTCCGAGGCCAAAGAGCTACCCAGTCCGCCCCTGACAATTTTAATCCGTGGCTGAATGATCATAAGTAGTTGCAAACTCCAAACTTTATGAATTCGAAACCAACATAAGAGGAAATTGGATACCAGCCATACAATAAGTCGATCATCAGCTGCGTTAACCGGTTTCCTGTCCCATTGAGAATTAAAGCCAACGAACAAGGTGTATCGTTTAATAGTGTGTGTACGTACACTGAGAGGGCATTTTTTCGGAACAGAGGATAGATGCACTCTACACACACACACACACCCCAACGCACCACCTATACCCTGGTTGTATTAACCATTCCCGGTTTCTTTTGTTTTTTTGCAAACACTATAGCACCATGGGCCTTCTGTCAGACGTGGAGAGCGGGCGATGGGAACCGGTCGCCACATCCTACGTATGACCCATGCAGCTTTTCTTACTACATATTTTAATAGCCCTGTGATCGTCTAGAATTTGTCTCTAGCTGTCTTTGCTTATGCTTCACGTTGTGTATTTACTTCTTCCTGTTTTCTTAAGACGTTTGTCTTCTCAGCATTTAAAACAATGCAACCGTTCGTTTTTACATTTTATATATCATATAGCTGCTTACATGGATATAGGCATAGTTCAGATTACAATACTAACTAAAGTCATTCTCAAACAATAGCCAGCCAGACTCGATTTGGGCGAGTCTGCTGAATAGAAACTTCTACATCTTTTCACGTCTAGAACCAAGTTGCTGTCTAACGAATTCTCACAAATATGATAGTTTTGTAGCTTTTGGCTTTGGATCTTCAATTATCTAATTGTTCAAATATGATGTAAATAATTACAGAGATTGGTCAAATAAGCCAAATGATGCAACCGTAGATTTCCGTCACATGCTTTTCGACCCAATCTATCCTTGAACTTAGAACCCCTTTCCTGTTATTCTCACGCTATTTCACAAACAATTAATTTGCGTTTTAAAAAAACTCATATAGCTACTATACTGACAATAGAGAATAATTTGTAAAGATAAAAAATGTTGTTTAACCCATCTCTATTCCTTGTCTATAAATTTAAAAACAATGTCGCAACGACGATAGTGCTACAACACGACCTACCCTGCTTACCCGTCCAGCACGCCTTGATGCAACCTCTGATATAATCTCTCTTGTATAATATTCTAAGAACACGGTATTTTATTATAGCAATCATTCGTTTCGTTTTATTAGATATGAAATATATTATGTGTATTGTAATTTTCTTAAGTTTATGCAATCTGTTGTATATAGGCTTTCTTGATTTAATGATTTATTATAACTGTATATTCATAAATCTATACAATCTGCTGTATTTGGGCTACTTTGTTTGAGATGATATTTTTAGTTCTATAACTTTATAGACATTACATGATTTATTATAACTTATTAATATATTATTTACATCGGTATATGTGTTGACTTTTACCTTGTAAAGAAATTTCCTCTAGAATAATTAGCTATTGTGCCATTCTCGTTTGGTTTTTTTAACAAAAAAATGAAGTTTTATTTACTCCACACAACCAATTAATTTGCTTCATAATCAAAGTCGTATATAGATAAAGTTACGAAGCCAGAAATTTCATATGATGTCGTGAAAATATGATGTCAAGTGTACAAAGACGCCATCTTGGGTCCCAAGTAATTGTACCTACTCACTATCTATTTGGCTGTCCCGACAAGGATGTGGATAGATATCTCATAGATTTCGGTGAAAAAGAGTCTATAGGAGATAAAACATACATTTTGTAAACGAAAATTATAGCTGAACATACTATTATATATTATTATTATTATTAAACAACAAAAAGCGCACATTATCGTTATATAGCCTCATTCATAAGAAAATAAAATGAAAGATACACCAGATAAAAGCGCTATTAAATATATTTAATCAACCATTACAGTGTAACCAGAATAAAAGGGGTTGTGCTGCACAGTAAGGTCAGTGCGGGTGACACAGGCATGCATACACACTGAGCTTTTTAAAGAGAGCAATCCAACACCCCATATGAAGTCAGTTCTTTTTTTATTCCGAATTAATACGATCACATTATGATTTAATTTCATTGATGCAAAGTTTTAATTGTGTTGTAATATATGTCTGTATCATTATCTCACGCTTTGAATGCCGATTCCATCCCACCATCTGATGATAAAGATGCACACGACCTCGACACTTTTCCAATAAAAAGTGTTGTTTTACCATTCTATTTATGTAGCTGAGCAGCCCGGCAGTGTGAAGTTAGATCGATTTTCGTTTTTCGATATTGGTGAATATTGGCGGATAAGGAAAAACAAGTAGCTCGATTTTCGATATTGGCGAATTCACATAAAAACTGCACTTTCTGCTTGTTTTTGGATATTTTCGAATGTCGAAAAGCGAGTTACTCGATTCTCAAAAAAAGCAGTTTTGATGGATATGTATCTACAGAATGTCTCCAAAACACATTTGATTAAATAAGTTTTCTAAAACGAACTAAAGATATCATAAATGAGGATGCCTGAGCAGTGAATTCACATAATTTTTATTTTTTTTATTTTGATATTTGCGAAATTCAGACATGAATGTAAAAATCGAAACACATTGAATTGATTAAATCAGTTTTCTAAAACGAAGTAAATATATCATAAATGAGGATGCCTGAGCAGTGAATTCATATAAAAACTGCAATTTCTCCTTGTTTTTTGATATTGGCGATTATCGTTTTTCAGACTTGTAACTGATTTGATGTCATAATTTTTATCCGATTTTCATATAGCTTAAAACAAAGGTCTGGCTTCTCGATTTTGACAATTGCCATAAACTGAGTGTTAAATTGTACGATAAACGTGATGACTTTGACTTTCCGATTGTTAACTTTCCATTTATTAGTAGTAACATTCCAATATCACCAGCTTATGGAGTGTTTGTGTCTCAGCCAATTCGTTACGCGAGAGCTTGTTCCTTTTATTCTGATTTTTTAAGTAGATCGAGGCATTTGTCATCTAAGCTTCAACTACAAGGATACTTGCGCACTAAACTTATTAAAACCTTTAAAAAGTTTTATGGCCGCCATATTGATTTGATTGGTAAATATAGCGCAGGCAGGGTAAACTTACTCTTCCGGACACCTGTTACCACTGTTTGTCGTGTATTGTGTACACGAGGAGCAGTCCATTTGCTGATTACACTATTTTGCTTGAATACACTATTTTGCCTATAACTTTTTTTAGGACTTCGAATTCTGTCTTATGGTTTGGATTGTTCGTACTTGGTTTTATTTTATCTCAAAAGTTGCGCGTATCGAACACTCACTTTCTGGATTATGGCCCAAGCTTGTATGTCGTTTTTAGCTTGTTTTCTGTGCACCTCTTGCAACCGCATATCGTGCATAGCAACCGCTTGCCGACCTCCGTTGGCCCGGTGAACGCGTATGCGATGATTGGTCACTCATGCAAGAACCGCCTATGTCATTCGTGGGGGAGGGTCGGGAACGGCAACATGTGAGCGGATCGTGCATAGCAACCGCTTGCCGGACCTCCGTTTGCCCGGGGAACGCGTATGCCTTGAATGGTCACTCATGAAAGAACCGCGTATGTCATTCGTGGGGGAGGGTCGGGAATGGCAACACCTCAGCTAGTGAGCAAGGCGGTCGCCGATAAACGAGACTCGGGTATAGCCGTGGCATTGTGGCACACCTGAGTTTGCACACAGGGAACTATCTACCTTTAACAATAATAGATCTCGATCCTGAATGAACGCGATATTCACAAATTATTCAAAACATATACTATGTATTCTGTAATTTGGTTCTATTTCGTTTTACACCTTTTATATACACACAAAAACTAAATAAACATTCTTAATTTTATGAAATGTAAACACTGTGAAACCTGTAGCCCACCAGCTTGTTTTCTAGACTAAATGTTAGTATTTTAATATCTAAATCCATTGGCGGCCGGTATCAAGGACTTTAGACTTTCTTATATAAATAATATCTTACCTTGGCCATTCACTGCAGCAATAAAGACGATACAGAATATCAGTTTTTTCATTTCGAAGTTTGCTGTCTTTCACTGTAAGCGTCATCTACAAACTGTAGATGTAGCTCGGCGCTTAAGCAACCCACGTGACAATAGATTCACGCAGTCAAATATCCAGAAATCAGGTGTACATTTGTGAATATATTACGAGTGAAATATACCTAACCAAGATATTTTATTGGCCAAGCGTAGCCGTCATTCAAATGATACCCTGCTTACACATGTGTCAAACACTGCATATACTTATTAAAGGGGCATTTTGCTGTTAAAAATTAGTCAATATTTCGTAAATACAGATCGTTTTTATATTTTTTAAAAGGTTAATAGTTATGTTACAGCCATATCTACTAATACAGGTGTCTTTGTAGCCACGATATACCATTTAAGACACTTTGCTCTGGAATGGTATATCGACTTTATCCTTAATATCTCATCCAGTTTGTTATTTGCTGTGGAGGTTCACACAGAAAGGTAGAACGAACTGACACGCCTCCACAACAAAACAAAAAAAATTCCAGCAGGTGCCCTGTTGGAGTAGATGGGGAGGCTTCTGCTCTGCCGAGGCATCGTGCATATAATAATTACTTGTGTTAAGCAGAAGCTTCAGATGTAAGGGTACTACTAAACAGGATCATATCACACCAACTATTAGACTAGATCAAAATACATTATATTAACAATTCACGCGTTTATCGATTTAAGGGTCGTTTTATTTACACAATTTAAAATATTAGCAATAAAATTGTTGTGCATAAAAAAGAAACACTCCCACGACACATACTGGTGTGTTGCATTACTTCCTTTCTCACATAATCAAAATGTTATGTATAGTAGTCCCCTTCTTCTCAACCGAGAACAAACTAATATTAATGGAAACAAAATGGGGAAATATTTCCCAAACGTTGTATCATACTGATGTGAGTCATGTCTGATTTATTTAGTAAAAGCACCAGATAGTGTAGTTACGGTGAATTTTATTATTTGGGCAAACTTTGTTAGATAATTGGTGGAAGTACAAGAAGACATAAAATTGAAATGGCAGATCTTCCAGTTTATGACTTGGGAAAATCAGTTTGCAAGAGCATAACTCGCAGTGGTGTCCAATTTTGTCATAGGGTAGTGGGGGCCCGGCCTTTAAATAATATTAGATTCACTGGATTGCCTAAGACGCCCGACTAATGACTCCCTACGAACCAACATGAAGATATCCGCTTTTTGATATGCGAGCTTTAATTCCTTCTAAAGCGCTCATTGCAAGAGTGGGTAGACAAGTGTTAAGTTTATTATGATCAACCACTATCCTGCCATCAGTATTAAAAATAAAATTTGTCCGACCGCATTTAAAGAGAACAGTAGATATACTTTAATATCATGGTTAAAATTACTGTATCTGTGACTTATAATGTAAACACAGAGAAAATAAAGTATCGAATGATTAGCACAAAAGAGAAATGTATTATAAACTGGTTAAATTTCCGGAAAAAAGCCTTCCTTAAAAATCAAGGAGCATTTTTTAGTATAAGTGGGGAACATGACTTTTCTTAATGATTTTGGTGTGCTGAATATGAATCTCCATGTTCCCAAGTCTAATTAGCATAAATGCTGCTAGATTGTCAGATATCTCGTTAACTATCGACTTTTCGGCCTATAAATGTATTACAGACTAAGTGAAATGAAACGTTTGTCGTATTCTGGCCTCCGTACATACCACTGACAGCTGCCAGTCCAGTATTTAACAGACCTACGGCGTTAGGAAAGCTCTCAAGGCCCGTGTGTCATTAATGTAATACTACACAGGACAGACCTTGCAAGATTCTACAACTTTCACAAGTATTGTCCTTCAAACATATACTTATTTCTGCTAGCTGGGTATCACTTGTACATTGTTTGCAAGTTCTTGTCGTTTTTGATTTATGTCCAGTAGTGGTACATCTACACCAGCTTCGTATAATCTAGTGACTTCTGTTGTTCGAAGGGAGTGGGAAATAACAGAGTTAAAAGGCGTCGGATTTATTTACCATTTTTAGGTCTGTAAATATATAAATTGCTAGTAGTCAATACACATTTATTAAAGTAATTATCAACGTATATCTAAAACAGTATAGAAATAGGGTGGAGAAAACGTTTTTTGTAAAATTGAGTTGCAATATCTGAAGAATGGAAATTATTAATTAAATAAACGTTAAATTATCTAATGATTCAGTTTTTGAATCTGTGTAAAACCTTGTTCTGTGTCTATAATTTACCACAAGCTCTTATATTGCTCGTATTCGACACCTATCCGGTCGGGATGAATTACAATAAGCCTTCGTTACTTTAGGATGATATTTTCTGTGCAGTAATCCGCCTTGATGTGTTTTCGATACATCTTTATCATATTCTGTATATCGTCTATTATTGAAGTCAGTTTGCACAGAGAGCTGAGAGTGTTCTCATACGCGACAATTTCGGTGTTCTGGATCGGCTCTAAGGTACAAATTCAGTCCAAAGTTTCCTAAAATTAAATAAGCTTGATCAGACCAGTCCAAGGGCAGAACTTTCTTAGCACTTCGTACAAAACTTAACGTTTGTCGTAAGTTTCTATTTGACCCACGTGGTTTGTGTTCTCGATTTATTACCATTTCGTTCTGTTGTACTTATTGTGCTGTTTGAGATAAATTGTCTCTCTGTTTTACATTGTGCTGTTTTAAGAGACTTGGTCTCTATTGTAATTCAAGTTTAGGATTATTTTGTTGGATTAATATTACGCCGGATTATACCGTAAATATTGAGGATTACCAGATGCATATTATAATTAATGGTAAGTGTTTGCAATTGTTTTTATCGCACCAAATTAATTCCTCAAAGCGAATTGGGATTACCAACGAAAAGTACATTTAGATTAAACGGGCCAATATAAAGGTATTGAGGAATATTCCATATTAGTCAATCCCGTGTAAGCATGGACATAACCAAATAAAATAGGAATATCCACCTTTAATATTGAGATATAATCAAAACACTGGAACCTCGAGATAGTACTTACCAGTTTCGGTCCATGTAGTTCCAACAGTTAGTCATCAAATTCTGTCATGTCAGTCCACTGGCGTGTCTGTATCGAATATGCATATATTAACTTTATTATTACTTATCACAGGTAACTTTTAACCAAAACAAAATTGATATAGTTTTAATGATATATCAACCGAAAAATATAATCTTTAAGTGGCATTTAGCGATTGCGAAACACATAACCAGAACACAATTGTTATGGGAAACGATCACTGGTTTCATTCTAAAAGCACGACGTTTCGACAATTATCCTCTTATCGTTAATCTTTGTAAATGGCTTCATTATGAACTCGTACATATTAAACTCAGGTTTACTAAATGTCATTGTGCTTGATAACGATAAGACGATATATATCGAAACGTCGTGCTTTTAGAATAAAACCAGTGATTGTTTCCCATAAAAATTGTGTTCTGTTAACGAAAAATATGTTTTTTATTAAATGTATGTATATGTGTATGTATGTGAGAGCGTGTGGGTGTGTGTGTGTGTATACAACTGGCGGTACTTTTTCGTTGATGTACATATAAGTTATAGCTCATATCAACCTGTCATGACGTCTTTGTAAGTTGATATATTCGGTTCATATCAACCTCTGATGACGTTGATGAAATATTACAAACAACACAGAAATTACTTTTTTATTCTCTTGACAATTGAAACTGGATTTTATTTTACGGGGGGGTGATTTCAAATACATAGGCAAGTTTTAATAGCCATAATTAATAAGTTCATAATCGAAGAAATTCGTGTAAAATTTATGAAGATTCAGACAGTAGTTGCATTCAGCACCAAAACAAAAAGGTGCACTTGTCGGTATATTTAGATCGGATAATTTTTACATCAGTTGCATCGCAGGAACTCGACCCCCTTTAATGTAGCAAATCACATAAGTGGCTATTTTGATCATCTGTCGTTCTTTTGCATACTCTGGTACCTGAAAGATATGTATACAGTAATTATAGGTTACCAAAGTTTATCAAAAACATCAGAAGAAAAATTCAACTTACCTTCAATACTTCGATATGTACATTTACAAAGTAACTATAGGCTTATAAACATATCTGAATGAAACTTTAGCTTACCCTCAATACTTCTAAAATATTTTTCAGAACTTTCTCTTCGTTCACATGTAGTATTATTTTTCAACACACTCCAAGATTTAAATGTATTTATAGCCCAGCAGTCCTTTCGTTAAATTACACTCTGAACATACTGAAAACCTCCCAGGTTCACAGTCAGAAACATTAGAACACATTGACTTCTTCTGATCAAAATGTTCTTCAGCTTTTTGGCTAGCAACTAGTATAGCCTCGTGGGAATTTACATTCACATCTATTTCCCCTTCAATCTGTTGGCTAAAAGTCTTCGACCATCCATTTCATTTTTGATTTCAATTCAAATGAACTATAGAGGCTCTAAAATGTGCGAGAACGTAGTTTGAAAGAAACCTGCACGTATACTCAAGTCATTAAGTTCGGTAACCTTCGTCATTTGGCGAAAATTATCGAGACATTATTCGATCATTATTGACTTTTAATTGAAGTGCCCATTTAATTTAAGGGTGATTAAAACTATGACGTTGTATTATATAATAATAATATCAGTATTCGTATAGCACATAAACACTGCTTCCACAGTTTCTAATGAGCTTCGATTTCACTAGATTTGTTTTCGATGTCAATATCATAAAGGACTTTCAAAAAGGAAAGTTTTCAGTTAGACGTATGTGAAATGGGAGCTGATTCCAAAGAAATGGCGCTGGGTATGAAAATGCACGGTTTCCAGTCTCAAGTGTTACACAAGGGATCTTTAATAAATGTTTATCAGATGAACGTAAATTTCGGCTTGTAGTAGAGGGTACTGTCATATCTTGGATGTAGGTAGGTGATTGTGAATTTAGAGCTTTAAAGGGTAATAATAAAATCTTGAAATTAATTCGCTGTTTAACGGGTAGCCAATGTAGTGCTGATAATGTAGCAGAGATGCTGTCAAAACGTCCTTTCCCAGAGAGTAATCTGGCGGCTGAGTTCTGAACATATTGTGGATATCCATGTGGATCCACTC